ACTACTGGTCTTTTTGTTTTTGCTATGTCAGAGGAAGCTTTCACGGAGTACCTAATTATAAACATAGCCACGGTGCCAGTAAGTGTTATGATTAGTTTTCCATGTTCTGGATTAGCCTCGTTGGTACACGAGACTTCTGCAGTCTTAACAGTCCAGATAATTGAGGGGGAAGACTTCGTCTTGTGTTCAGTTTTCGGTTGTATTCTCATAAATGAAGTGGCATTCCAGAAAGAACTGAACTGCGGCAATTTCCTACTCTCTGTCCATAGGGAATGGAGTTCGTTTTTCGCTCATAGTTTGTTCGTTCGAGTGATAATGCAGCATTCCACTAATCAGTGGTTGGAATATTTTGGTCTTTTCCGAATGGAATTTTCTTTAACGTGACCTGATGTTCTGTTTTAAATAGGTAACTTTGTTTGCCGAATTTTTTTCTCCCGATGCTTTTGCACTGCGTCATATCCAAACTTTCGCATTTTTATAGTAAACGACAGCACCTCAGTTACCAATACTGAATCGTTGACCAACGGAAAGTGATACGTTTTATCACCGGTTACGATTCAGTTCACCCGTCGTTGTGATACATTTTATTTATTCTTGTTCTGTTGCAAATCGATAAACTCAGCTTCCGGTAGTTTCGGTATATTTCTTGCATTTTAGGTCACTTGGCTGTGAACTGAGTGCTAATTTCGAACTCCATCATCGCCGGCCTACTTCCATGCAGATGGTTTTTCATCACCCTACATCTCTGAAAGGGCGTGCGTACAGCCTAATGCTGCGTGCTGTGTCGCACTACAGCCGTAAAACTTGGTCTGTTCGAATAGATGCAATTAAGCGACCATCTGTTTTCGACGACCGTTTTCTGCTCAGCATCACCCATTCGTAGTGCGAGTGTCGCCTGAGGAATAACTAGGTCGTTTGGCGTTTGTTAAGGATAGGTGGTATTCCATTGAGCAAGATTATTTCACTAAAACGTCTAAATCGGGTGGAACATGTCCTACAAATGGCTAGGCATTGCTCTACTTTTTATGCAAACATTAGACCGGATTAAAAGAAACAGCGGAGTGAGTAAGCTATGATATGCCGTGTACGAATCCAGCTTTCAGATAAGCATCTGGGCTTTTAGGATGGCTATGTCGCCGTTGGTCTGAGACACTAATGGATCTGGTATTTCATCGAAGTCCGTGAAGTGAATCTATTTTCACTGTGAAACAAAGGAAAAAATTGAAGAAGCACGTAGTAAATGAAAACGAAATGTTTAAACACCCTAGGTAACTGCAAACCGTGGAAGGCGGTTCGCGTCACTGTAAGTCACGGTAACCTGCGATTCTCATTGCGCTATTGGTTTTCACGCTGGAGGATTAGTACCGTTGTACCGTCTTCCAGTTCAGGGTATAGAGTAAAAAGCGTTTTGGAACACTCATAACTATGTTATAACATACGTTGTAAGTCGCTTCAACTGACCTTCAGTAGCTTTTTCATACAGATCAGAATGGTTTGCAATTGTAACACTTTCAGTAGACGCAATCCGTGCCCAGTTTTCATATTATCACTCACTTTGTGTACGTTGTGGTGAAGTTCCATCCACTGTATTTCGCTGTACCACCATAATGATGAAGATAGTGATTTCCCCCTCGTTTATCAACACTGAAAAGCAAACACGATAATCGGGTACCAATAAAATGGATACTTGTGTTGGTGAGTCTTTCATGCATCCTACTCCGTACTAACTGCTTGATTATCCCAAAACGTGAATAGCAAAAGATGTCAGTATCTAACTGATGACTAGGAGGACTTCGGCTCCTCTTTGCATATCTAGTCGATTCATTCGTTCCTTGCACGAGTCATAAGCTTCCACAACGTCGACTCTGTGGTTTTGCACTTTCTCAACTGACTAAATGGTCAGTGTTATTCAAACTCTTCGATTATCTTTTCTTTGGGGTGGTGGCGCAGTGGTTTAGTCGCTGTCACCTGTGGTTCACCACTTCAAGTCTTGGCGCTTAGGTTGCCGGTTTCTACTACAGAACAGCAGTTCCTTGTGACTATGGGGTTCGCCCCGTCTGTTGTTCATCACACTTAGGTGTGTAATAAAAAAATGTACCGGCTGGAGCATTGAATACCGCACAAGAATTCGTTGTGAGTCCTGTATAATTTCTAGGGTATAATGTCACCCTTACGTATTCAACAGGTAATTCTCCTCGGTCTTGGATTGCAACACAAGACGGTCGAACGTTTGGCTTCAGAGTTCAATCGACTATTAGGAGACTCAAATTCCGTCGAAAAAGGAATGCCCAATCGCCAAGCCGCGGACGCTAGTGCCATTTTGGCGCGCTTAGAGGACACAAACACCACTGATTGCGGCACACTGGAAACAGTCTCTTCAAGTCTCCGACCGAAAGATACCGAAAGCCCAGGTGGCACTGGCTGGGCCAAAAGAATTCGTGGGCTCTTGTTTGTGATGGTACGCGAGTTGGTCCGCTCACTGGAACAAATAGTCAGATCGCGGGAGAAGAACGAACATATGAACACTCTACTCCCTGCGAAGGGTCAAAGTCTGACGGTAAATACGGCTTTTTCTGATTTTTGCGTGTTCAGGTGACTGGATCTGGTCGGTCTAAAATCAGTACTTCTGGTTTTCTAAGAGAGCAGTGGAATAAATGGGCTTTGGCACTTGTAGATGACTATACGCTCCATATACACAAAGATGAATCAGCTTTTGACAGTATGGGCGATTCACAGTGCCAATAGGACATCTACTGTTATCCGTCAAAAGTAGTAGTGATATGTGGACCACTGCTCAGACATCCCAATCTTTGTTGAATTTTTTGTCTCCGATTTTGCTTTTTCCAACCAGTTCCTTAAGAAACTTGGTTGTCACCCGCTAAAGGTCGTTGCAAATAGCACTACTATACGTAATTTACCACGCAATAGATTGCATGCCCTGAAGCTTCGTCTGTCTCTTCAACGTGAGGGCTCCAATGCAGTTAGTTCATTGGATATCTCATTAGTCCTGATAGAGAAAAAACCAACAAACCCCAACGGGCCAGGATCAAAACAGAGTTAATTGGGGTCTGCAACGTCAGCTCACGTACAGCCGCAATAAAGACTTTGAGAGCTGGTGGACAGCAATAGCTACTAAAATTGAAGTAGCAGCTGTATCAGGAAATAGTCAAAGACTGTTTCGGCCGATACGCAATTCGGGAGGTCGGTAAGCCGCATTTAGTTCAACAGTCCGAGATAAAAGGGGACAAGCTATTCACAATAGGGAACCACGACTAATGCGAAAACCACCGTGGGTTAAGTTTAATTCCAATCGTTAGCCTCGGTCGTACTTCGACATCTGACTCCTTCAGGAAAGAGTAACATCCGTGAACAGCCAACCGGGTTCCGGCCTAGCCGTGGATGTAGTGATCACGTTTTTACGTTGGGTTGCGTCACACCCACTGTTAACCTGAAACGAGCCTTCGACTTGGTTGACTGCAAAGCTCTAATTAGTTCCATTCTTCGAAAAGAGATGCTCCAAAAGTAGGGTACCTTATAAAGGTCTTTCTATGTTGATACGCGATTCGTATATATGGTACTTTGCTAGTTTTTGATCGAATATGCGCACCCCGAGGTCATTAACAATATCAGAAGATAGTCGAAACGTCTCGGATTCTTGTCGTGAGTGGTTCACAAATGATAAAGCAATCCGTTAGCATACGGTATATATTTTTCACCAGCGTGAGAACAAGTATGGTGCCAATGCAAAACAATGACAATAAAGTTATGTAGGGGTAAAGAAAGATTAAATGAAAATGGAGAAAACGCGGAGAACGAATGTGTAGATGAAGGAATTTTTTGTTCTTTCACCGCACAATTTTTGAAGATTATTTTGCGTTATGGGGAACGCCGTTTCTCCAGGCAAACCGTGCAGCATTCGCGCCACTGAATTCTATTTTGAGCCATATCTCCCAGCGTCTCTAGCGATTGGCAATCTTCATCCCTTGAGCCCCAGCCTAGAAGGCAAGCTACACCAACCGAAGCCTATAATGAAGCCAGCTTCTTCATACCTCTACACCTTCTCATGGTCTGACCGTCACGAAACTTCTTCCAGCCTTGCCCGGCACTTCCGAAGACAGCACGGAGAGGTAGTCGATGGGCAGGCATATGCGCTATCAGGATTAGGCTTATACCCCTATGATTGGCGCAGTCATTGCGCGGGCCCTTTTTGAAGATGGGGACGACAATCGACTCTCCCCACCAAGAGGGGAC